ATTTATCCAAACATAATTTATCAATCTTTATTTCAAATAAATATTTATCTATTAACTAAATAAATTATTCTTAAAAACATAATTACTCTTAAGTAGGTTTTTAAGTTAAGGATATTACAACCAACCTCAATCAAAGGACCCTTACCCACTAAAAATCAAAGACATACACTATTGGTGTTTTTGGCATTTTATGAACAAAGCAAAAAAAAATTAAATACCAATTTATAGTGTGTGTGTGTGGAGGTGGGTGCAAGTGTAGTACAACACGATTCTTGGCTAGTACAATTGTCAACCAAGGATTGTTTGTCTTCTAAATCAATTGTCGTAGTTGAAAACGATGAACAATACTTGGGAATCAAATTTGGGTTGCAGCAAACGATAGGTTGTTCAATCGATTTTGGTCTTATCGTTTGCTTCTTAATTTTAATTTATTCCCTACATGTTTTAATTTTTTTACAATTACACCCTTAGTTTTCAATTCAATTGTATCCCTATTTATTTTCAAATTTAAATCTAATTTCATTCAATTACGTTCATATTTCATTCAATTTCATTCCGAATTGACTTTCAATTTCAAATATGGGTGCTTTCAATTTCAATCCTTATTTCATTTAATTATACTCCTAATTAATTATTTCATGCAAAAAAAAAAAATTGTATTTTTTTTTTGTGTTTTATATATTTTTTTCTTTTTCATTTCTTTCTTCTTCTTCTTTTTCTTTTCTTTTCTTTTCTGTTTTTTTTTTTTTTTTTGAAAGATTGATTATGGAATTAATTTTTTTCCTTTTTCCTTGTTTTTCTTACAAAAATAAAAAGTAAACATAAAACTTATAAAATTGATTAAAATAAATATGAAAAATAAGATAAAATAAAATGAATAAAATCAACGAAAAAAATATACTAAAAAAACAAATATAACCTAAATTTTAGGTCATGACACAGATGATGCACATTAATTGTTCAGATTGTTCAGAGTATGTAAGCGTTAGCTAGAGTTGAAATGTGAATGAGTTAACGTTACTTAAAATTTACAATCTAAACCTATATTGATGACATTGAATGGTCCAGGGACAGAACCCAACCTTAGTTATTCGCAAATTTTAGGTGAGAATCAATGTAAGACTCCACCTGATCCTGTTTTTGGTCCTTGTATATTACACGTCCTAAACAAACAGTGCTGATGAGACCAGCTAGGGTTATTGTAGTTGTGAGTCAACAATTTGGGTTATTATTAAGAAAGGCAGGCCCGCCCCATGATGCGCAACCTAAATTGATATTGCATACTGGGCATTGGGCAGCAATTAGGCTTATTTGCTTGGAAGATTGCTTAGTGGGAAAGCAAGAATGTATTAAACTCAAACTCAATAATTAACTTTTTGTCTGATAAGCACCCAATCATCCAAACCATTTGGCTAACCTCCATCCACACAAGCTAGAAACTTTTTTGTTGGGAGAATGGACATATTCAAATAAGAAATTGATTTACATACAATACCATATATAGGTGGATCTAAAGGTTGAATTTTGAATGTATTTTGATTTTTGATCATTAGGAGGCTATAATTTCATTTCTGCTAGTCCCTTAAGTGAAAATCCATCCTTATGTACAAGACAAATTAATTTCCAATCAAATTCTAGGGTTGATCAAAATACAAAAGCAAGGTTGGAATCCAACTTGAGACGTGCTTCTCATCCATGCATGTATATCTCAAGAAATCCCTTAACTATCTATGAGAAAAGCTGAGCTTGGATTTCATTATTTAGCAGACAAGGCATTTGACATTCCTTCATTCTCAATTTCTTTCTTAAGATACATAGTCAAATGAAAAGATTGCAGCCTGGCCCTGCAATTTAAAAGTACGTAGACCTTTTCTTTTTTAACGGAGACAAAATGAACTTGAGCAATAGAACCACAAATTTGATCTTTCTTTGTCTTGTGCTTCCTTGTTAATCTCCTGTTAAGCAACAAGGAATAGGTGCTTCTCGAATCTCAACTTGGATAGTCTTCTTTCTAACAACAATTGCCTTCTCTGCCCAAAAAGCAGCATGTTCACGTGATCTTCTCACATGTTACATTTCATTGTATGATTCAGAGAAAAGCACCTTCAATTTAAGGCAAACCAAACAATTAATGAAAGGTACGTCAAAGTTCACAAATATTGTTCTTCAAAATGCTTCAATCATGAAAGTGTTGTTCTGATGATGGGATCTTTTTACTCAGAAGAAAAATTACTGATTATATAGTAAATACCTAATTTTCTTTTCGCCGTTCAGTGTTGGCCAATTTCGAGGTTACAAGAATTAGATTACACATATTTGATCATGGATGGATATTTATCAGTAGATAAAGCAATTGATAATATATATATATATTGTTAACTTGATGATTAGTATGATTGAATGAGCTCTCATACATTAATGACTTTTGCCTACGTTTCAATTTCACGCTGTGAACAAACTTACAATAACCTATTCTTGTGAGAATCTCCCACAGGCATACACGCAAAAGAATCCATTAGACCATCACCATAACATCGATCCGCAATTAAGACATGGCTAATCCGAAATTGTTTAACCCATTTAATAATTAAGTGGATAGACCAAAACAACAACAAAAGACAACATATTAAGAACTGAAAATGCAATACCAATCAAAACACAAGCGTAAGCTGGTCAACTACATTGATCATCCATCTAGATTCCTACCTAGCTATCAAGATGTTGAATTAGTATACCTATTCCCATTAATAACAAAAATTAATTGAAAAATGTTGGACTTACTATAATACTCTGCGAGGAATATTTTTCATTAGGTGGTCCTAAAAACGACATAATACCGCGTATTAGCATCACTAAACATTAATTAATGACCCAGAAATCATGCAGACAAGAAGACATGCAACAAAACGTTGCGGTAATGCTGTGAAATAGAATCATGCTATTCAGTGGTGAACCCACGTTCACTGCTACAGGGGCCCGGGCCCCCTCTAAGTTTTTTTTTTTTTCGTAATAACAAAAAAAAATAAAATAAAATAAAATAAATAAATAGTAGGAAAATTTTGAGTGCTGAGTGTTGAAAAATAATTTGCCAACAGGGCTGATAAGTACCTGTAAGTTCCTGCCACTAGTGCATTGTATAATGATTTTTTTTTTTTTTAACTACCACTAGTGCATTGTATAATGTCGTTTCTATCAACTAATATTATAATTTTTATTTTTTTCTCGCATTAAATTTTATCATATGTAGGATCATGTTGTGATTGGTTTAAATAGTAAAAAAAAAAAAACACTTATTTAGTTTAAAGTTTCATGTCTGTACGTCTTCTAATCATTAATTTGATGATGTCTTTGATAAAATAATACATCTATATTCAATTGGTTTTAAATTTCTACGTCAATATTGGAAATACATCATACATATTTATTTTATGATAAATAGTTTAATATATCTTAATATAATAATTTAAGTTTCTAATTTATCCTTATATTTTTATTTTCTTGAATAATGTGGAATATAAGTATCAATTGCTATTAAAGAAAGTAATTTTTTTTTGTGTATAAAATATTAGGATTTTCTATAATATTGATTTTTATATATTCAAATCACAGAGGATTATTGCAGGATTTAAGATAGAGATCTCACACCCTATTAGATTTTTTAGAAATATAAAAACTTTATAGATTTCATGCTTTCTTGATGAGATGCATTTAACTAAAGAAATAATTTGAATTATTTTTTCTTCTCAAATTTATGGAGAAACTGAGTAATTGTATTTTTTTTTATAAATAAATTCGGATTTTCTTATGATAGAAAGAATTTTTCACGTAAATCGATATTCATGTGGTTGTGTCCTTATGATTAATTTATTTTGTACTTTTAATTATTATATGCTTTTGATTTGATTATTTTCTCACGAAATCTAATTTACTCCATATGATTAAATTCCCATCATGATACAAGTGATGGAATAAGATTAAATTCCCATCTAATTTACTCCATATGATTAAATTCCCATCATGATAAAAGTGATGGAATAAGAATTGATTTTTGGGTACCACAATAACGAGAGAATTGTAGTGTTTAAGACGGTGATCTCACATAGTATTAGATTTTGATTGTTTACTTCTCAAGTTCATGGAGAAACTTGAGTAATTGTAATACTTTCTTAATTATATACGAGTATATTATTTCGGATTTGTGTTAATGGTCGATGAAGATAAGAAAATTTGAAAGTTATCAATTTGTATATAGTACCACAGAGTGGTCATTTTCAACTTTGAGTATAGTCAAAACTAAGTTTCATAACAAGATGAAAAATAACTTTCTTTCGATTGTTTGGTAGTGTATATTGAAAAAAAAATTATTGAAACTTTTAGTATGGATTCGTTTATAAATGATTTTTGTTACTTGAAAAAGCTAAAATCTCTATTTTGAATAATTGTATTTTGATATTATTTTAAAATATATGTTGATATGTTATTTATAATATATATAAGTTTATATAAACTATGATAAATTTATAAATATTTATTTTTACCTTCGTACACATTTGTTCTTGCATCGACATGCCATTGCTTATATTACTACTTTTTGAACCTTAATTGCATTTCCAATTATTTTTACAGCAAGTGATTAGACACGAAAATTCATGTATGACGTAGAGGTACTCAAGCTTGCATGGATTATATGCCGTCCGAAGAGAAGACCAAGTCATTTAATTATGTGATACGGAGAGTGACTTCATAAGATACGGACTTTCTTTCGCAAATATTGGTCTGCCGGCAATGTTTTAATTCTTGTGACTAAAAGCTACCTTCTTTCCAATATTGATCTTAATTCCCTTAATTCCCTCTTCAATTCTATCTTTCTCTTCTTTAATCAAGTAATTAGGAGATAATGAGGAGTTAGGGCTAAAGAAAATGCAATTAATTTAGCTATAGATAAACTAGCTAGCTAGCTAGTTTGACAGGCTAATTAAACTCTATGCATTCGAGCTGAGATGATAACAAAGAGATACTATTATTTGGCAACACAACCAACATCGTTGCCAAATTCACCAGCCCCACTACTTCAAGTGACCAATCTTGCTAATAATAACGCAAGGCATAATAAACATATATGGGGAGCATTAATTATTGGGATTGTAACACTCTCAGTTGTTACATCACTGTGTTTGTTTTTCAGGAGAAGACTCTTTCCAATTTTTTGGCAAAGATACTGGCTGCAGAAAGGTTAGTTTAGTCTCTAACATTTGCCTTCTTCCAGTGTGAAAACCTTTTATTTTATAGACTGATCATTTGTGGCGTGGAGATGATGATCAATCAGGAAGTTTGAAAGCTGAGACATTATCATTGAGGCGATTCCAGTTGGAGGAGTTAGAGAGGGCTACGAAGAATTTTAGTGAAGATTGCTTGTTGGGGTCTGGTGCATTTGGCAATGTCTACGAAGGAACTTTTGAAGTGGAGGGTATTTCTCTAGCAATTAAGAGAGCCCATGCTGAGTCATACCAAAGCACTGAAGAATTTAGAAATGGTAAGCCTGATCAACCAATGCATGCATGTACAAGCTTAAGAGTTTTTTAGGCTCATGAATTTGAGTGGCTGATCCATTTTTAATTAGTGTTTTTCTTGAAACAGAAGTGAGGCTGCTTTCCAAAGTAAGGCACAGAAACCTTGTTGGCTTGGTGGGGTTTTGTGAACAAACTGGTATGAAAATATTACCCCTCGAGTCATTTTCTTTATTTTCTGTAGAATGTTCTAAACATATATATGTTTAATGGTGCATCAAACAGGAGCAAAGAGAGCACAAATATTGGTTTATGAGTATGTCCCGAATGGTTCTTTGCTTGATTACATTATAGGTAAGCTTCTATTTGTTATTTGTAACATCTGCTTAATCTTCTTAAATATGCGATGTTTTGTTCTTGATCCGCGCGATTTCCGTGTAGGACGAGGAGGGAGGAACTTAACTTGGAGGCAAAGAGTAAACATAGCCATTGGAGCAGCTAAAGGTACGTTTCTTTTTAATAACTTTCTGTAAATTAATAAAGCTAAATAAAGATACTTTTTTATGAGGTTTACCGGAAATTTGGCAGGCATAGCTCATTTGCATGATGGAGTCGAACCTAGCATAATCCACCGCGATATAAAACCAAGTAACATTCTAGTAGGTTATGGTTTTGAAGCAAAAGTTTCAGATTTTGGGCTAGTGAAGATGGGACCTATTGGGGATCAATCTCATGTCAGTAGCCAGATCAAAGGGACTCCAGGGTACCTTGACCCTGCCTATTGTTCAAGCTTTCATTTGAGTCCTTTTAGTGACGTATACAGCTTTGGAGTCATACTCTTGCAGCTTGTGACAGCCCGGCCTGCAGTTGATTTAACAAGAAATCCATCAAGCTATCACATAATTGAATGGGTAGGCGTAATTAGATATAGAACTCAACAAGATGCAGATCATCATTTAGTAATGGTTTTATTTTTTATTTTTTTTACGTTGATGAAAATGAGATGATGTATGTTGCTAAAATGCAGGCAAGGCATAGCTTAGAAAGTGACAACGTTGAAGAAATATTAGATGCTAATCTTCTAACAGAGCCGTGCAACATGGACATGATGCTAAAGATGGGGAAACTTGGTCTGAGATGTGTAGTGAAAAAACCGAAAGACCGTCCTCCTATGTCCCGGGTGTGGCAAGAGCTAGAAGAGGCGTTATATTTAGCTGATAACTTCGTCCACAACCACAAAGAACCTTCAAAGGATTATTGGAAATCATCAAGCAGTTCCCGTCGATCAATGGATCATGAACCTCGTAGATCAACAGAATACGAACATTCCCAGAGTTTTGTCAGCATTGATGGTGTTGGATTTCAAAGGTTTCGCGTTGAGATGGATAGCCTCTTTTTTCATAGCACAAGCATGAAGTGTTTAGAGGCTAGTAGTGTCAGCATTGACATTGATAAGAACAATTTGAGAGGAATAAGTGAAGAAACAAGTAAAGAAGAGATAGTTGAACATGCAATTGTTCCTACTTGAGCTTTAGCAAAGCAACTTTGGGTACCCTTCTACAATGGGAGGGTTGGGGAGTGGGTTTTTTGGTACATTGTTAATAGCCCTTCTCATATATTTTTTATTATATATTTGATTTGTGCTGTTCTTCAAAATTAGGCAGAGAAGTTTTAAGGCTGCATAATCTTTGTGACTTTATATGGTATTGGAATTTCCATCTAGACTTTCCCTGAAATGGCAGGGTAGATCTTATGCACTCGAGCAACCACGAGATGTCCTAGAAGGGGACCGAAAGAATATCATCGTTTCTAGCATTTTATAAATTTGCCTTCTGCTATCAGAGCTTTTTCTGATTATTAGCCACTTTTCCAACCCAGATTAGCTATATAAGGGAAGATACGAAAAATTAGATAAAGATTTCTTTGTTGGTTTTCTATGACAAATTATCTGCAACAGAGCTTTTGCGGGAAAAAAAAATCACAATTACCTGCCTGCAAGAACTTTAAGTATATTAGAACAATTACCTGTGTACAAGAACATGCTACAACTATTTCGGAACCTCACACTATACCATTCCTCTTTTTTTTTTTTTTTTTTTTTTGAGAAACCAAGGATTCAAAAGCCTACAAGATTCTCAAAACCCTCCCCTAGTTTCAATTTTCCCCTGCTACGCCTTACAACTTGGAACCTGAGATCCCATCGCTTCCACATAGGATAAGTTGCCATCATTGTTCTCTGCTGTCTTGGCATGTTTGCTGTATGTGACAAGATCAGAATACATTTTTACCGTTGCCTTGGAAAACTCAGCCAAGGATTCAAAAACTGAAGAAAATCCTCTCTGAAATCCATTTATGGTGATCCCATGTGTCTCTTGCATGCAAGCAAGTTGCTTTCTCTGCTCTACCTCTAGTCTCTCCCTGATCATATCCAACTGATTTTTCCTTTCTGCTATGTATTCTATGCGATTACGCACACTCAATTCTGATCCCTGCTCAGAAATCTGTGATTCAAGAATCCTCCTCTCTGCTCTCTGGAATGCCAGAGTCCTCCTGTCACGTTCTTTGGCCAATCCATCAACCTTCCTCTTTTGCTGTTGTTCTTCTCCTTGCTGATTCAGTATGGCACGGATATCCTTTCCAAAGCTCTTCATCGCACAAGTAACAGTCTTGTGTGGCAACTTCTCTAGGCAAGCTAACCAATCATGGCAGGTTACTAGCAATGGTGGCCAATTGATTCTACAAGGAGGGACTAAAGAGTTGCCACTGGAGCAGAAATCTTCTGGAGAAACGAACTGGGATAGCCAACCACTAAGAGCTTCAATGTATGCCTTCTGTGTAAATACATAAGAAGTAAAGCAGGAATGCCAATTGTCAAGTTCTGCCTCAAGTTGAAGAGTAGCAAGACGATTAGAGTCATTAGAGAACTTTCCATATGCTGGACAGTTGAAGGATTTCACTTCAAGCATTACCCGGTTTTGGGTTTCGTGGGATTCCAACATCATCTTCCAGTTCCTCATCAGGCTGCATAAGTGGAAGTGTGGATGTCATCGTACAACTAATTTGAAATATCCTCTTCTTATATCCTTCAAAAAAAAATTATCTTGTTTCTTACCCATATAGCAACTCGACAAGTTGTGGCTGCAACTCTTCATCTCTCAATTTCTGGATTCTTTCCGAGATTGATTCCACACTTCGCAATGCAACTGAGATCTGGCTATGCAGGTCATTTGCTTCAGCTCGAGATTTATCTATCATGTGGAGGCCTTCTTCTGCAGCATCCAGGTTTCTCAAACGAGAACATTTTCGCACATAAAGTTTCCTGGTCTGCTCGCCAGCCTGAGCATGTTAAAGGAACTTCATAAATATTAATTGAGTGACATCAAAGCAACAAGCATTTGCATGCAGCTCTATAGAAGTCATACTTCATTGCAATAAATATCAACGGATAAGGTATTAAGATAAGAAAGTCAAAAGCCCTTCTAATAAATTGATATATATAGTGAATAGGCGACTTGGATTTCAGAGTTAAACATGACCAGAATGAAAGGGATTTGTAATTAACCTTCACTTCCTCATAGAGTTTCTTCTCCCAAGCATATAACCGCCCAAGCGTCAGTGAATGGCAACCTGCTTCCATCCCATAGTCATCAAATAGATCATTCTTGAGTTCTGTCCACATGGAAGAACTTACAGAGCTAGACGAAAGGAGACTTTTGGAGGAGGAGGACCGAGATGAGAGGGAACGGCTCCAGGTAATTGACCGGACAAGCTTATTTGAGCTCTCTGCAACCAAAAGTTAATGAATGAACTGATAAGATAATTGCCTAATTGACATTTAGGCAATGTGCAACAGAGAGACAGGAATTTTGCTTTCTTGCAATTAAAGTAAGAACTTGACACAAATTTTAGGGACAATAACTAAACAAATTTTGTGCTCTATTACCACATTATTTCCATTGAAGCAAAGTGACACGGATGACTTCAACAATTTTGCAAACTTAGTTGAAGGTTGAGAAACTAGAGACCCGTTTGCTAGTTAATTCTTTATTCTAAGTAACCAATCAAGTTAAGATTTTTCTTACCAAACCAAATGCAGACATAAATTGCAATCAATTAAAAAGAGCACATCCCAGCAAGCAGAAAAACAAAAACCTACCTTCGATTTCCTCTAAACCAGATAGCAATTGAACTCTATTGGTCTCGAGCATCCTTGAAATTTCCAAACCAGAATCATAAGCCTTGATAAAATGGTCCTCAATATGCTTCAATGCTTCCAACAATTCCCTCCCTTTTGTTGGTGCATCAACCACTCTAAAACCCTTGCTCTCTCCTAATCCAACATCAGCACCATTTCCACTTTTCACATCATCATTAACCCCACTCTCTTTATAACCCGCGTCACCAATTTTCACACTCACTCGTTCACTTTCACTCTTTACTCTCTCATTTACTTCTTCTAGCTCAGGAATCCCCTCCTTCTCTCTCACATCCCTCAATTCCTCATCAGAGCTTTGACGAAACCCATTTACCACTTCAGTCCTCACTCCATCAAAAGGATTAAAAAAATCCCACCCAAATTCCCTCTGCGCTGATGGCATCAATGGACTCACCTCATCATAAAAATGATCACAAACTCCTTCTCCATCTTCACTACCGCTATCGCTTTCTTCCTCAAGATCCTCATTATCACTATCACTACCGCTACATTCTTTAATTTCTTGTTTTTGAGCCTCTAACTTAGAGGAAACTAAAGAAACTTTAGAAACTGAGTCTTGACATGAAATAGTCTCATGAGTGGCTTCGCTTGGTCTATGTTGATGAAAGTTGGAATTGCAAATAAGGGTCTCTTTAGGATCAATAGTGGAAGAAGTAGAAGGGAAGGTAATAAGGAAAGGAGAACTTGGAGAGGAATGTCTAGCAACAAACAACCTTAAAGCCATTGCTACTCCATAAAGAGACTGATTATATTTACATTGAGCATATGCGAAAGCATACCTTCTCTCTACAGCTAACTTGAGTAGTTTTTTTCTTTCTCTGCACAGTGAGACCACATTGTCTTCTTCGTCTTGCTTTGACACTGCACACCCCATTTGACACCAACAAATGTACTTTCTTGGAACCCAAAAAAAACTTGTTTAGTGTAAGAAACTATATATTGATGGTTTTTTCCTTTGTGGTGCTAAAATGGAGGATGGTGTGGTTGATGTTGCAGAAAGATGGTGTTGGAAAAGTGAATAAGAATCACACAATTAAGCAAATAGTAACTGATAAACACACAATGCGAGGAGTGAGGTGGGGTTTGGTTTTTTGTAGAAGTAAAGAGAGACAGATGGCCAACGTCAGAGGAAGAGACAAATAGCCACACAGAAGACCTTATTGGTATCAAACCAGTGCTTGTTCTATAGACAATAGTTTTGCATTTAGTTGCTCACACAGAGAAAAATGGGATTGGCATAGCACCAACTAGACATATTGTGTCAAATCTCCAAAGTTCTATGTTTGCAATATGGACTAAAATGGGAATAGCCCTAATCCCCCACTCACTTCATTGCCAAATATACGGGGATTCTGCAAGATTTTTGCTGATATTTTTAGCTGTCGTCTTGGTGGCCTAGGCCCTGTTGAGTGAGTTAGAAGAAAGAAAGACTAGAAGAGTCAAAAGCAGATAGGGTTAAAGTACAGTATGTCAAATTTTTTAACCGTATCTCTTTATTAAATTTTTTAACTATTTTATCTATGTTCTTGATTGTGTCCGCATATAATTCCTTCGACCACTTTTTCCAACGATGAAGATAACTTTAAGCTTTTTGACAGGTGAAATTAAATGCAAACATAATTAAAAATAATAATAATAATAATAATTAAAAAATACAAATAAAAAATTTAAAATAATAAAAGAACATAATGAACTTTTAACCCAAAACTGTTATTACTTTGTATTTTTCTTTTGTCACAAAAACAAAAACCGTAAATAGTTAAATCTATCCTTTTATAATTATATTAGTTTTTAATATATTTCTATATTTTTAATTATATTTAATTTTTTATATATATTTCATCAATTTTTTCAATTAAATTGATAAAATTATACTTTTTATTCTAAAATTGCCCTTAATTTACATAAAAATATAATAAAATATTTTCTCAAAATGTTTTAAGAAATAAAAATTTTCAAAATTACTCAACCATTAAAATTATTTTTAAAAAATCAAAATTATATTTTTTTCTAGCTCAATTGTAGTTTTAGAATAAAAAAATATAATTATGTTAATTTAGATAGAAAAACTTGATAAAAGAATATTTTGAAAAAATTAGAAATTGTATCCAAATATAATGCAGACGGTTAAAAATATAAAGGATAAATTTAATTTTATCTATTTGTGTGAAAACCACTGCTTAACTGATGTTTGCCAAGTGGCCCAATCTATTAGCGAGTTGAATGAACACAGGCCCTGTAAGAAAAGCTTATAAAGCTAGCTGGACGCATCTGTGATCATAGCATAGTCATGGTTAGGTGGATTTGGTTTTTGAGGTTGCTGCCTGGTCATAAAGTCAAGAACCTAAAACTAGTAAATTTTCTGTGGGGTTTTGTCAAAATTCACACGATAGACTCTTTTTTTTTTTTTTTTTTTTGTCCTTTGATAATGGCAAAACCATTTTGTAATCTTATGTCAGCTTTTAAATGACAAGTTGAAAATGGGACTTGCGTTGTGCAGGAATGGTAAGATCAACTTGCAAGGAATGCACATCCCAATTAATTTGAGAGTATTATTCAATAAAATCGGTCAATCGCTAAATTTTGGTGTAAGAATAAAGAAGCGCGAAAATGAGGCAAACCCATGGCTTAAAAAGGTAAGCTACCTCAGCGTAGTGTTTCTCTTCTCGTGGACCACTTTTAACAGTAGGATATGGACAAGGATTGGCCCCCTGAATTGACAAAAGGCTATTTTTGCCTATACGAGCTGTTACAACTTAGAGAAAGGACCTCACCACCCTTCACGGTTCACGAGAAGAATCTGGGATGTTATGGGCACCCACCCGGCAGGGACGTCCGATCAAAATAAATATTTATAAATTTATCATAATTTATATAAATTTATATATATTATAAATAATATATTAATATATATTTTAAAATACAATCACCTAAAATAGATATCTTCATTTTTTTAAGTTACGAAAATTATTTATAAACAAATTCATATTTAAATTTTCAATAATTTCTTTTTCAATATACACTAACAAACAATCGAAAAGAAAGTCATCTTTCATCTTGTTACGAAGCTTAATCTTGACTATACTCATAATTGAAAATGACAGTTCCGTGATAACCGTAAAAACTAAAAGAGTGAGAATAAATATTATCACTATATACGTACCTAAAAAATGACCACTCAGCTCTTCTAGGAGCTACTCCCGAGCTCACTGGTATATGTATCTAAAAATATTAAGGATTATAGTAGCATTGGTCGCTCCACTAATAAGTTGAATATATTTCAAAATAATCACTTTAGTAATATAAAACTTATAAAATATAAAAAAGAAAAATTGTTATTATTAGCAAATAAAAAATTGAGAATCGAGTATATTAATTTAAATATGATTGTGACTAGGATAATTGAAGATATTCTTTAATAACCATCAATGAAAAAGAATTATTATTTGTAAATTGTAATCTTACAATTGTTACAACTCCTTTTGTTTTTTTGTTTTTTTTTTTTTGTCTACAATTACAAGCACAATAACGATACAAAATTTCAAGATCGATAGTACAATTTTAATTCAAGTAGATAGATTATCGAAATTTACGACATTATGGATGTAATATTCTAATAGATATCTTAATCACATAAAATAAAATTAGAAAGACAATCGATCTAATATTTTAATTATAAAATATTATTTAAAAAAGAAAATTGGGAGTTGCTAAGATTCAATCAATATATAAAATAAAAAATTTAAAATTAATAATATAAATAATATAATAAAAGTTAATAAATTATTGATTTTTGAAAAAATTACCTCCTGTGTTGTCGAAAAAGAGAAATCCAAATAAGAGAGAAAGGTTTTTTTTTTTTTTGTATTTTGAATAGAGTAAGAATTAAGAAAAAAGAAAGAAGGAACGAGTCTGGGAGGCCGTTGGGATCACATTAAATAAATATTAAGAGTTTAGTAGTGAGTGAGTTTGTTACATACTCTAGTGTAAGGAAAACAGAGAGGAGGGGGTGGGGCATGAACCATGTAAGAGAAAGAATGTAGAAGTATATAAAAGTGAGTGGCAGATTAACAAAAGAGGGAGAGAATAATGGGTGTGGGGTTATGGATATATTGAGAATTGTGCCACTAGAAAGTGATAAACAAAGGGACAATTCAGTAGTGGTGTAGGGTCTGGTGTCTCATAGATTAATGTGAATATGCTTCGGCAGTTGAAGAAGAAAAGGCAGCGCTAAATAAGTCTGCTGCTTATTAAGTTCAAAAGTGGCAGTAAAATGTGAAGGTCTAGTCTACTTTGCCATGCATTTGCAGGAGTAGACTAATGTAATGAGAAGAGCAACTTTTTGGTCCAAGTTGGAAATTATTTTCGTAATCTATTGAAGTGGAAAGCTTGAGCTTCAGTGACATTTGCCCATGCACATCAATACATTTGAGTGTATATATTTATACACACACACAAACACACACGAAAGGAGTATAATTACCTTGTATTCTCGACCACCTAGGCAGCACACTGCAGGCATCGAAGGTTCGTGGTGTTTGTCTCCTTTTTCAAAATTAGAATGGAATCTGATGCCTGATTCCGTAGTTTTACAACCAACCATCGAGTGGTTGGAGGAAAGGCGACATGGGGTGAGTTAGACCAGAACAGAGCCTTCACTGCAACACCCCTCCCCTACAGTAGATTTGACCATTCCGGGGACTCACTATTGGCGGTACTTGCTTTTCGAGAATCTTAATTTCACTCCCTTGGCCCACCACCCCCATAATTACAAGTTTTCAACGAAGATCACATTCAAGTGAGCCATTTGAAATACTTTGATTCCCTCATGGGTCGCTTGAGTGTTTCACACATTCTCATACTAGGAATTGCTTTTGTGAACCTTTGGTTCCACAATTCTCACTCCAGACAATAACCGAAAAAAAAAAAAAAATGGAGAGACAATTGCAGCCAGCTTCTCACCAAGATTAACACTGAGGGTGAGCTAATAGTCCCAACCACGGAACAAGCGTTCCCCAACAAATATTGAGTTCATGAGATAAATTCTTACATCAAAAGACACAAGCTACTGTTCAGTGTCATATTGAAGCACATGCAAACAACAGGCGCATACGCTTTGATTTCATGGGGGCATCTGTTTCACATAATTTACAAAAGAACAATAACTCCCGAGTTAGGGGGGAAGTAAATTGAATGCATCAAGAAGTCTGTCCTCAAGAAAGAACCTTCAATGTCAACTTTGCAGCTTCATTTCCTCGATTATTTCCTTTTCTTTCAGCCCGTGTGCTCAGAAACCAAAGAAATAGATGTCTCAAGTTAAAATGTTACATTGTACATTAAAAAATTAATGGAAGGACTTTCTCCCTCCCCCTTGAAAATTGCAGCAGATACCATCACGGAAGTTCTGAAAAGGATTCAGCCCATGGCACAGCGCAGCAGTATCAAGTGCCAGCTTCATTAGGTGCTATTAAGTTCCATTGGAGTGGCACAGGGAGCTAGAGTTTTTGCAGGCAGATGAACCCCACCCCCTCTGACAGACACAGAAGGCCCTTTGACTGTGCTTGCTCTGCTCACAAGATTCGCGTCAAGAAACACAACTGCTACTGTGATGTCATCATGGAAATGCCTACGGACACCACGGTCAATTTTCTTCAGGTCTGAGTATCTCATTTCTCTTTTCTTAGCAGCTTCTTGCAATGCAGCTTTTATAAGCCTTCGAGCAATTCCCTGCATTCAGAGAGGTAGGCAACCATTGGGTTACAATTTTTCCGTTAAGAATTCCTTATGTGGCACTTAAAAAAGAGACTCTCTGTTGTCACTTGTTAGAAGTCATTCGGTTCCCAACAATGGAATATTCGCCCCTCAAGTTGCATGTCAAATTCAAAATTCTACAATTCATGCAGCGTATGCAATAGCGAGCAAATTCCTAAAAATTGAAGTGTATCAGTCTAGCCAAGAATAACGAGCAAATTCCTAAAAATTGAAGTGTATCAGTCTAGCCAAGAATAACGAGGTTATCAAATCATCAAATACACCTTCTATAAATCAAAATACCATAAAGCAAATAGAAAAGTGTAATCAAGTAATTGGAAATACAACAGAATGTAGCATAACAGTATCAAGCCATGTAAAATTGACGGAATTATACGTTACAATCTAACAGACAATTTGAAATGCAAGAGAAAAATTTCCTTCAACAATCTCCAGTAATAACCAAAAAAAGACCGACGTAATTAACATTAAAATAAATTCAGCTGAGAAGCATGTATATCGGTTCACTTGGAAAAGCAGTAGTCAAGGACAACAAAATAAGTTCTACAAAATCTTTATTTGGCAGAAAAAGGAAGGAAAATTCATTGCTAGGCCAAGTGAGCTTTGTGAATCTCCAGTTTATTATTTGATGAAACCTTATATCTAAATTAACTAAATAGAAGCTTCCATATAGTGCTTGAACATATTTCTTACATTGCGGGGATGATTTTGAACTATATCAACTGCTTCTTGATTGCTAAGGTGCTCCCACAGTCCATCAGATGCAAATATGAGAAACTGATCATGAGGTTGGAGTTCATGCACAGAAATTGAAGGGTCAGAGCTTAAAATTGGCCTCTTAAAAGGTTCACGAAGGCGGAACTTTGTATACAATGGCTCTCTGTTGAATTCAGCCTTCTTTAAATACACATCACCGATAGATCTAGAAATCTGCAATACCATAGTCACAACATAATATCATGTTAAGATCCACATTATAAACTGAATTATGGTATTTTATCACCATAGTGAAAATGCAAAACAAACCATGATTTGAGTGAATGCAATCGACATTGACAATGCCAAAAGTTGATTTTTCATTTTGATCGACAAGAAATATGTTATATTTTACTTTATTGCGTAAATTACAAAAACCTCCCTAAGGTATCATGAAATCACAGTGACCACCTGAAAGTTCAAAAATATAACAAAAACCACCTCTCAAGTTTAAGTGAATATTACAAAGACCCCCTTTTGTATGCAAAATACCCTTAATATTTTTGAATCATTGCCCTTAACATTAAGGGTGTTTTGCATACAAAGGGGGTTTTCATAATATCTTCAAACTTTTGGATGGCACTATGATTTCATGATACTTCAGGAGGGCTATTGTAATTTACCCTACTGTATTAAAAGTCAGGTCCAACATTCATGACCTAAAAATTTACTTGGAAATCATTGTCCTCGAAATAAAAACTACTCCAATCTTATTGTGTATCCTGCAGGACCATCACTCAATCTGCTCTGTTCTTATACCAAGTATCAAGGCAATAACATGTCTGAAAGCTCCCCACATGCTCAGAACCTAAAATCTAAAGCATGTAAATTTTTCTCTTTCCATCCTGTAAGATCAACGATACACATAGAACTCCACCCCACCCAAAGCCTCCACTCTTTTACCGCCATCAGGCCCATGCTAGCTGCTATGATCAAACTCATGCTAAGCTTGCAATTTGCCACAGCAAGGTAAGAAAGCAATACATCAACTGCAAAAACCAAAAACTCTATCTCCCCAAAAATTTTGGGCAAAACATGAACCTCCTACAACACTTGTCAGAATTGAAGGTGCTCCAAATGCTGGCAAGTGTTCTATCCATTTATCATAAATATGATCAGGCACCGTGAATTCTAAATAAGAGAACATAAACTCCATGATCTTGTGTGCCTTCTGCAAATACAAAAAACTAAAACAGACATTTGATGCTTTGCGACCACATTTAGAAACGGCAGTTGCAACACCTTCCAGTCTATTTCTAAAACGTCATAGCATTCATGTAATCAAGTCTTGCTTCAAATTAAGACAACACAAGATATCAAGGGAAAATGAAATTATAAAGGCTAGCCATTTAAAACATCTACCACAATACCCCGTCATGGAATTTACCTGTATCAGGCCCTTCACACGCCATACATTATGCTTTAAAACAACAATTTGCGAGTCATCAGGATGCAAAGAATGCATCTCCTGTCTGACAGACTCAATTGCCACATTATGTTCTGAAGACAGCTGGATGGCAAGAACCTCGCCAGTTGCCTTTACAAGCCTCCCAAGGACAGCTCGGGAATCACCAAGGTTGGCAATGTAGAGGATACCACCACAGATCACGCCCACCAGGCAGCAAGATCCAACAGCTGCAATCTGAGGCTTCATAGGCCACTGCTTGGTGACAAGAGAAAGAAATCCCTCTTCAGTTGCTTGATATGCTTTCCGAATCACATCAACAGACATGGATTGTTGCTCAGAGGTGAATCCTGCAAGATTAAGCCCATCATCAGAAAGAAGGATAAGACTCCCAGCCTCAAACCACACAATTGAAACATGAATACTAACAGCCACTGATTAATAAACAGGGTTTATATCGAGGTTTAAGACATCAATTGAAATTCCCAAATAACAAATGGAACCGAAAGTTATATACTCAAGAGCACTCCCATGCCAAAAGATCGCAAGGGTTAGGGTTTCTTACTCTTCAGATGCTGGAAGAGATGATCATTGACATAACGAGATGTCTCAGGCCCACCATGACCATCGTATACTCCCACAAAGGTGCCATAAGGACCAGACTCAAGAGTGCTCAACGGGCCTGACTCAATTTGACTTTGATCCTCGAGTAAATTATTGGCCTGCACAACAGCCATAGAGAATTCACCATTCATATGCTGCCCTGTGTCTTTGTACCAAAGTAGCCCATCTTGCCGGCCTGCTGCTTCCGAACAAGTGTGGATGTAACTGTCCGAGGACGGCAGCCAGCAGGCCCTCAAAAAGTTTATCAACCTTGATAACATCCCTCATCTCACCAGGGCCAGCCTCCAATCTCTCCACATCCAAATTGGATGCAATAACACTCCGTCCAATAAATCTAACCAGTCTCCCTCCTGCACACCACACAATTCATGTCACAAACTATAACAAGACCAAGTTGTTAACATAAGCAGAACTGATACTCAAATTGAATCCAATCAAAATATTGATCAAAAGAATTCAACTTCCATCCTAAATTTCACAATCAAGGTCTAAAATAGAAAACCCTTGTTCAACTGTTCTTAAACAGCAACACAGCCTTGACCCTTATTCAAATACTGCCCAAAAAACATAGAACAGAAACAACATAAAATTCAGCCGAAAAATGAAAAGGGTCAAATCTATTTCCACATTCCACACAACAAAGTTCAACCTTTCCAAAGATTTAGTTACATAGACGAACAAAATTAAGCAACTTTCAAGAACCCAAGAAGGAGGAAAAAAATGAAAAAAAAAAAAAAAAAAAAAAAAGGCAACCAGTAGCATGAACTATAAAAACAAGTACTAGAAAATAATAATAAAACCAAACTCACAGTAAAAATTAGCTCTCTGTACAGTATCTGGTCAGCTACTGAACTAAACAAGATGAAAAGGATGGAGATCTAAAGTAAACAGAACAATACATGTGGGTTAGATCTATAGATCCATTAAATCATCGAAACTATAAAAATAAACGACAGGGGTGTCTTGTTTTTTTTTTTTTTCACTAAAAACACTAAAGTTTCAATCTTTTTGAGTTCCTTTTATGAGAGAATTGAAACAAGCGGCAGTAGGAAGGTGGGGTTTTTTTTTTTTTTTAGCTCTTTCAATTTCAGTTAGGGAAGATTGAATTTGAAAGAAGTGAAAAAAACTTCACCTTGTTTGGTCTTTCTGAGCAGACAAAATCCTCTCCATAAAAGCAAAAAAAAAAAAACAAAAAATTGATGGCTATAAAAGCCAGCAATGCATATGGGAAACCATGGGCTCCACATAGATAACAAAAGCAAGAAAATTTTTAGATAGAAAGACATATTGATAATATAATCTTATTATTATTATTATTATTATTATTATATTGGAGACATATATATATATATATATATATATATATATAATGTTTTGTACTTAAATTGATTCAATCTTTTTTTTTATTTCTCTTGTGCTATCATTTGTTGTGAAATTTAAAATTATTATATTTCTGTGAGGAATAATTTTAAAAAAAATAGTTGTAGAAAACGCAGTATTAATCAAATTAAAAAGTGATATATTGAGTCATTAAACAGCGGAATGATTAAAAAAAAAAATCTTTTTATTGTGAGGCTTGATATACGTTAATTGTACAAATAGAGATAGTTTTCTCTCATTATGCTATAATTAAAAATAACTAAAACTATAAGAACCTAAAACTTACTCTACTAAAAAAGCTGTGGGGGCCTATACAATAATTAATTATTGGTTACTTGAAACAGAAGTTTCTTGAATTTTGTTTGGAAATTAAACTACTGCCCTAGCAAAGAAGTAACAATGTTGTTTTTTGTTTTAATTACTATATGACAAGCTTTTGAGAAAACTAATTATAATTAAGATCAATCAACTCCCGAGGGAAGGCAAGCTAGAAGTTTACTACATTTACAAATTAAGAGAAGAATACGTACGTACAGTTGATGGAGATGAACATATAGCATATAGTTAGGCATTGGCGACGTGCGTACGTGGGATCATGTACATCTTTTACCGATAGGAATTTCTTTGGGACAATTGCATTGACCTTGATGGATGGATGGCTAAAAACAAAAATCTCTTTTTCCTTCAAAACATGCATGATGAATCACTATTTTCTTCTGTATGGATTCACATTATTATTGACTTCACAACAAAAAGTTTTTGATTCCATTATATAGTATGATTTTGAGTGCACAAGCAATTCCAAGATTTTTCCTTTTCTGATCACTTGTTTTCTTTTCCCCCTAGCCAAAATACTCGATCATACACAATAATATGATATAAAAACAAAAACAAATTAAGGAAGAAGTTCATCCTAAAACATTTTTAAATTCTCTAAAAACAAAATACTAATTAATGGTTAAGAGTATTATTGAATTAGCTTACTCATCAATAGAATGTAGCTACCAGAATTGTGTCCAATAATATCGTCCTACAACTTACCGGAACATGTATGTATCTTCTACGTATGTTGCGTGTTGTTTGATTATTCCTCATTAATTTGGGTATTTATTATTCCCAATTTTTCATATGTATATTTTCTTGAGATTTCTCCCCATAAAACATGCATGCTTAGGTGTCCAAGGCTGGGGTAGAAAGACACACGTGTCTATGCATGTTCTTAAGCAAGTGGCAGATGTTTAATGGACTTAGTTTACCCAAAATCTGATTGACCCACATGTTCTGCCATTTCAATGACTTGTACGTACATGCTTTCCTTTACTTTTTCCTTTTTTTACCATTTCTTTTGTCCAACTAAAATACAATTCGGTTCATATCCTTTGGAAATTGTCTTGTCTTCCCCTTCATTTCAAAATACGTGGATTCATAGTTACATTACTGATGATCCAAATAAGAAACGGGTCAATTTTCTTTCCCTCTTATATGATTTGTTTTCGACGTCGTTATTTGAAATTTGAATCCAATATAGTAAGATCGTACGTGTAGTTATGTACTCATATTATATACAATCCATTTGTATAAATACAAAACCATATTAGAAAGAAACTTCATCTTTTACACAAGCTCACCTGAAAAATATCCTAATCATTAAGCTAAAGCATGATAGGATACGACTCATTGTTGATATTGCCGATATTACCCTACTTAATTAATGGTATACCTACGATTATGCAAGTGTTAGCTCCTTAATTGATTAACAGAATCATATATTGATAGGGATTATTCGGATATGGATGCATGCCAAAGAGTCAAGGTGGGAACAGAGAGCTGTGGGACTAAAATATTTTCGTTATGAAACTATTAAACTATGGGATTTTTTTGTGTCTGTCTTAACTAAAATGATTTTGTACCCCCAATATATATATATATATAGTATCAAACTAAAAAAACAATATTGCAAACTTAAAAATGCTGGAAGTTTAAAAGAGAATTTATGTTTATTGATGAGAAAGAAATGTTTATAAACTAAGGATTTTTTTTTTTTTTAGATATAATGTTTTCATAGAAATTCAATTTGTAAAAGATTATAGACACCAATTGTAGACACAAAATGAAAACAAAGAATCAAATTATCGATCTATCAATTTATTTTGATTATTGCTTATATTAATCTATCGTTATTAACCTATTTTGATTATTAGTTATAATCTATCACTACGATCTAGTCTCTAATAAGTTTCAAGTGTGTTGAAACTTGTGAAAATGCTACGAGTGTTTTTTCACCGTTGCAAATGTTATTCGGTTGATTGTTGTTTTTGCTTACCTTAACTTGTATTATAGGCTTCTCGTTACTCCATGATTTTTTATAGTGCTCCATGTTTCTTCATACTTGTTGTGTTCATGTTTTATTTTCTTTTGTAACCATCCACTTTCTTTCTAATTGTTAGAAACTATATTTTATGTAATCATTTTATTATAACTCACTCGTCTATTTTTATATAATTGTTAGGCAATCTAAATTTTGGGTATAAAAAATTTTGTAGTCTCATAATTTTTGGTATGAATTGAGATGTCTAGAGTTTTAAACTTAGTCGTCCATAAAAGGAAATGTTGTTTGCACCTTCCCGTGTATTGTTTTTTTTTTTTTTTGTATTTTTTTACATCTTATTATCATTGTCTAAAACCATGCATTTCATGTTTTGAAAATCACAATGCATTCCGAGCATCAACGACCGATCCTTAAAGATATCAAGAAAGACAAGTAACTCTCTTACGATTTTTCTTTTTTTATTTATTTTTCATTATATACAATTTAAGTCATTATAATTTGTAAATTATTCAATTTTTGTTCTTACATTTCAAATTTTATTTGCAATTAGATCCTTGATTTTATAGTTTTTCTTCTTTCTCAAAGCTAAAAATCCTTCATTCTATCTATGTTGTGTGTAACATACAAATTAATTTCAAGCAACAAAATACACATTCTTTAAAAAAATAATAATAAATAATAATAATAATAATGGTTGCAACATAGTGTTCTTTTTTTCACAATAAAATTTTAAAGTAAGATTTTTACACCCACACCATCAACATTATTAAAAAAAAATAGAGAAATTTTGACTTAATTTTTTAATTATATTTGAATTTTTAACAAAATCAAATTTACTATCCAATTGTGCGAGCTCAATTTTTCCATAGAAAATTAATTAAAATAACTTAGTTAATTTGTTATTATATGCTAATTCATGTTATTTTTCTTGATTTTTGATATGAGCCCAAACTATATCACAAATGAATTGAATTGATAATGGACCTCACTCAACGTAAGGCAATGGGTTGTGAGGATGAACATGGGTATTCTAGCGAGGCCGGTACCCATGCCTTGTCATTGGGATGCATTAGGGAGATTGGATTGGTGGGCTTGAAGTAGAGTCCATTAAAGGAAGACCCAATTGTTACTTTCTTTATCCTTTACTAGTAAGTTAAAGCACTTAAATCCAAAGAGCCTAAATCCTTTAAGCTAAATCTAACCGTTCAAACTTGGATGACATGGCATAATCCTAGTGATCAAGGGGTCATCTTCTTTCACTATAGATACCAATCTCATAACTTTATGAATGGATCAAAACTTTTGCATAAGAGAACTTTGACCTTAAAACTTTCAATCTTTAGTTAAAGAAACACCTAAACTATTCATCTTAAAACTCTCATACTCACACACCGGACAACACCCAAAGCTCTAACTATATAGACTTTGACTACCCACAAGTCGAGTCATTTAACTTGCATCTTATTAGCATTGCATGTTTCTCTTCCCATATCTCTCACTATTTGCATCCGTTCTACTTGGTTGGCTAACCATTGTTTCTACACGATCACAATATTAGCTCTTTGCATTTTGATTAACTCCGTTGACTAGTCATTTAATTAGTTCTCAAGAACCCCTCTACATTTTGGCTACTTCATTGGGGAGTTAGTGATTGTGAAGGATAATGATCTTGTTGCCTTAAGTAACTTTGACAATTTACACCAAAAATAGCTATTAGCCAAGTAACCGACTACTTATTGTGACGACGTGTGAATATGCTTATATTTTGGTCACTAACCTAAATGTCTATATTTATTTAGCCATTTTTGCTATCTTTCAACTCAATAGTTTATTGGAGTAGACTTTTTTTTAAACACTAAGTCGTTTTATTTTATATGGAGTTCTAATTAGGATGTATCCATTTGATACAAATTTTATCAATTAAAAAAGATCATTTAAAAGTCTACAACTTAGTGGTGATTGAAAACCCATCAAATACCATTTTTGAGGTCAAAGTCTAATACGAAGAGTCATGTTTAGCCTTTTTTGTGATTCGAACTTGATAAGCAAATTCATATTGCTATGAAACTTGTTGAATAAATAGGCTTATGACAAGTTTACAAGTAGTTACTACATGTTGAAAGGCTCACATTGAGCCTATCACATGTTACATTTATTTTCTAAGTATTGAAAGACTAACAACAAGTAAACCACAATCATTGATAGGTTATTCTTTTTGTTTTTTAACTTTATCTTTTTCCTATCTCGTTATACTTGATTGCATGAATGCTCTTGCTAGCAAGATTGATCGTGTAGGGGGCTAAATGTATAGATTCAATTTGTCCATAGAAAATTAATTAAAATAACTTAGCTAATTTGTTATTATATGCTAATTCACACTATAAGAAAATAGACGAGTTAGCAACGGATTGTATTTCGTTGCTAAGTAGCTACCGAATAGTGATCGAATAGTGATGAAATTCAAAATACAACAACTTGCGACAAACCTGCGATAGATTTATGATGAAAACACTTTCGTCACTAAAGCATACGACAAAAATCTAAGCTAAATTCAATGACGAAATTACGACAGATTAGCGAGGAAATTTAGCAACAGAATATCATTTTCGTTGCTAAAAACCATCGTTGGGTCGACGACGGATATAATCCATTGCTAAATTATTTATTCCTGTTGCTACCCGACGTCGGACGAGACTCCAAAAAAAATAAATCTGATTGTATCACTAGTTTTAGATTTTTATTTTATTTACAAAACTATTTGCGAGTTTGGAGTCGCCACCTAGTATTGAAGGAACTAGGAACCTAAAATTGGCACTCGGTTTAGAGATTCTATGTTAAGGAGTCGGTTACGCTTATGGGAAGATAATTAATCACCCAAAAATGTCATTTCCTAAGAAAGGTATCATGTCAAGCTTAGCCCTAAATTATCTCCTAAAGTATTTCATTTTTTTGCCACCTTATTTTTTTTTTAATTTTTGAGACTCCAATTTTTCAAGTCAAATTAAGTATTTTATTTTTGAGCGTGGCATCGTATTGAAACGATCGTCGGACCCCTTCCGTCGAGAGACACGTCGGCTCAAACATCGGATCCATTTTTTAGTCTCGACACAACCGGTGTGCCAAAGAACACTTGTTTATTAAAAAAAAATGGTTAACAACAGTCCCTATCGGATAGGAGACTTTGTTAAAACGTTTTATGATTTTTTTTTATGTTTTTATTATATATATATATATATATATATATATATATATATATATATATATATATATATATATATATATATATTTGCATAAATACTATTTTATTTTATTTTTATTATTATTATTATTATTTTATTTTTTTAAGTGAAAGATTGTCATCGGTCCCTAAAAAAAAATTTAGGAGACTTGACGATCTTCTACTTATTACTTACTAAGCCTAATTCTAAACAAATAAATTAAAGCTACACGAATTAAAATAAAAAAATTCAAATACTGAAATTCAAATTAATAATAGGTATGCATAAAATAAATTCAAGGGTAAATTCAAACAATTACAAAATATTAAATGACAAATTCTAACTAACATGCATAAATACTATTATTTATTTATTTATGTGAAAGATTGTCATCAATCCTTAAAAAATTTTAGGAGACTTGACGATCTTCTACTTATTACTTACCGAGCCTAATTCTAAACAAATAAATTAAAGCTACACGAATTAAATAAAAAAATTCAAATACTGAAATTTAAAATTAGTAATAGGTGTGCATAAAATAAATTCAAGGGTAAACTCAAACAATTACAAAATATTAAAATGACAAATTCTAACTAACATGCATAAATACACCCGAAATTAAATTTACAATAAAAATAAATAAAGACCATTTAACATTTAAAAAAAAATTAAAATAACATGAATAAAATTAAAATGTAAAATTTATTATACATATATTTTTTTTTGTATTTTTTTGTTTTCGGTCGAGGTCTGGAATCAATCCAACCCAAAAGAAAAAAAAATCCGATTGGACCGAATGCGGAAAATGGGTTGGGCTAAGCCCAACCCAACCCTAAAAAAAAAAAAAAAACCAAACCCACAAACCTTCCCCCTTTTTTTTCTTCTTACATTTAAGATCAAAACTAAAAAACCCCTTTTTTTTTTATTCGATCTTGTCTCTCCCTCTTTCCTTTTTTCTTTCTTTTTCTTCTCTTCTCCCTCTCTTCTTCTCCACTGGCTCCGGCCTCCATGGACGAACCGGTGGAGGTTCGTCCCTTCTCTTCCCTTCTCCCTTTCTTCTTTTCTTCCCTTTCTCTTTTCTCTCCCTTTCCCATCTCTCTCTTTTTTTTAATAAAACACTGCTGCTCGCCATGGACGAACCGATGGAGGTTCGTTCATGGCGACATTACTTTCCCCTTTTTCTTTCTTTCTTTTCCCTTTTCTTTCCTTCTTTTCCTTACTCAATCAAAAATACCTCAAATCAATTTCTCCAAGTTCTTCCCCAATTTTGGTCGAAACCCTAGGTTTTCAATTTCTTATTTTTTCTTTCAATTAGACTTAATTGACTTGAAGTCAAGTCAATTCACATCCTTTAGGACTCAATTTTATCAAAACCCCCAAATTTATTCTTTAATTTTTTACAATTTTGAAAAATCCTCAAATTTTAAATCAAACTTAAATTGTATAAAAAAAATGAAATTCAAGAGAAATTAGAAGGATTACCTAAAAGAATTGATGGAAATAAATGTGGATTGCCTTCAATTAAGGTAAGTTTAATTTCTTTTTTTTTCGGATTTTTTTTTCTTTACCGCCAATTTCCCCCTTTATTTTGTTTTTCGATCGCTAACTCTCTCCTAATTTTGCAAGCTTCCTTTTTAATTAATTTGTTCTTGGATATCGGATCGAAGAAAAATCCCCCCTTCCTTTTTTTTTGTTACTCGTCCGTGTGTATATATATCTATGCGAACCTCTCCTGTTTGGTTGGTTCCCCACCATGATGGTGAGGGATTTTGTTGCGGGATATGGAGTGGGCGTTTGTGACCATTTTGGGTTGTAGGGGATGGTTGTGGTAGGGCTAGTAATAGGGGAAAGGCTGTGCGATTCTTGCCGCGTTGCAACATGGTGAGGTCGCGGGAATTGGGGGATTACACTAGAGGTTGTTGGATATAGGGGAAGTGGTCCGCAGGACTCGTGGGAGTTGCAGCGAAACGATGAGGTCGGCGAGTGGGGGTGTCTGCTATTGTTGATCGGGTGATGAGGGAGAAATGGCAGCTGCAGATTGAGGGAATTAATTTTTACTAGGATTGGAATTCAAGGCCAAAATTGAGAACGAGAAATTGATTCCTACAACCGAAACCAAAATCAAAATCGGTTCCATGAAGTAGGAGAAAAAAATAATCCCAAAAATTAGTTACGGGCGAGGAGTGGGCAACTAATCGTCCACTCCTCCGCAAACTTTGGTATTTTTTGATTTTTTGTAATTGTTTTTTTGTTTTTGCATTTTGGTCACTCGTAAGTTGTTATTAGGTCAATTTGGTCCTTGTCCAATGTAATCCGGCTCTTGAATTTTTAAATGATTTGATTGTATCCCCAATTGCTATAATGATTTTGAATTTTTTACAATTGCATCCCTAAAATGTTAAATTAACATTATTTTTGTATTTTTATTTTTTTTCATTTTGCACATTATTAAGAAAAATGGAATAAATAAAAATAATAACACCGATTAAGATAAGAAAATAAATAATTAAAAAATTAAAATAAAAGAAAACAAATAATCAATTAAAAATAAAAAATTTTGAAATTTTGGTTATGACAATTCCATTGCTAATTAAGGACGAAATGTATTCCATTGCTAATTTTTCCAAATTTTTGAAAAAAATTAGAAAATTAGGCGCTTTTTTGAATTTTGAATTAGTGACGAGAATCCCGTCCGTCGCTAATCCTAAATCTCTAAAACCTACCAGCCCCTTTCTTTTTTCCTAATTTTCTCCCATTTCCCTCTCATCCTCCTCCGCTCTTCGTCGCCACTCTAACCATTGCCTCACGCAACAAGACTCCCTCCCCAACCCACTCATTCCAGTGATGCACCCCTCTCTCCTAAAAAACCATGTTGAAACTACTATGATAGTCCGTTCTCTCCTTCCTCTCCTTTGGTTAGTTCTCTCTCTTTTATTTTATTTTTTTTTGTTAATTAGATTAATTTTGTTAATTTTTTTTGTTAGTTATCGAGTTAATTTTGTTAATTATTAGTGTTAGGTTAAATTTTATGTAATTGTTATGGTAATTTTGATAAATTGGTTGATTAATTGTTAGGTTAATTTTGATTCATTGTTAAGTTAAAATTTTGTTAATTAATTGTTAATTTATTATTATTTTTTTATTTTTGTTAATTGTTAGGTTAATTTTGTTAATTTGTTAGTTGTTATTTTAAATTTTAATTAACATTTGAATTAGGATTAATGTCATTAGTTAGGATTAATTTAATTAAGTTAATTTGATTTAGAGTTAAATTAATTAGGGTTATTTTTATTGATTGGTTGATTTTTAATATTAATTATAGTCCAATTGGTTAATTAGTTAATATGTAAAATTTAATTAGGTTTGAATTAGGTTTAATTTAAATATGATTAATTTTATTAGGCTTAGTTGAATTTATTATTAAATTAATTAGGTTAATTTTGATTTTGATTTTATTTTTTTATAATATTGTAATTTTTTTAATTAATTGATATTTAAAATTTAATAAACGTTTGAACTAGGATTAATATAGTTAGTTAAAGGTTAATTTAATTTGAATTTATGGTTAAATTTAGTAGGTTAATTTTGATTAAATATTTAGGGATAATTATCAGAAAAACCTTATAAAAAAATCTTATATCTAAAAAACCACAAATTTATTTTTAAATCTCCTAAGCCCAAAATAATATTTTTCTTACCAAAACAACCAATAGTTAACACTAACACTAGTGGCTTGTGAGATTTAAAAATTTTAGATAGAAGATTTTTTAGAAGGTATTTTGATAATTATCCCTAGTTTAAATGAAACCATTATCTTTCAATATATGTATTTCTATTATGGATGATCATATTTTATTTAAATAATGTACTAAAATTTATTATACATTCATCTTGTAATTTAATTTAATTGTTTGATAAAAAAATGTTTAAGTTTTGATAAATTAAAAGCTAGTATTACCGATGATACTTTTTTCCTATCAATATATTAGGATTTAAGAAATCACGAATATTCATAATTATACATGTTCTTATTTTTCTTAATTGTATGATAACCTTTTGATTAAATTATAAGAAAATAACAAAAGTCTCATTTCATCAATATTAATTAGTTAAATTGCATCAATTGCTATAGTTATTATATAGTAAAATTAATTTTGTAATTAATGAAATAAATGATCGATAGAAAAAAAAACTCTAATATAAGGAATTTTTTAATATAATAATTAAAAAAATTGAATGTTAGTGTTTAAAAATTTTTTATATAAAAATAGAGACACCCACCTTAAAAAAACGGTCGCCATAGTAGTATCCTTAGCTACTTCATTTACTGTTGCTGTTGTTTTATCATCTTCCTCGTCCTTGTTCTTCAAGGAGTTGAAGTCAGCTCCTTGTCTTAGATTCACTTTCTCAGTTTCACCCTTTGGTTCTTACGAAAGACGAGGAGGAGGCAAACTCATGGCTCACTCTTTAGCTTGAGCTACTCTTGGCCTTACTCAGCCTGCTAACTTCGATGTCCCTAAGGTCAATCTCTTTTAATTTTCTCTAAAAGAGCGAACCCCACATTTTGTTTCTTTGTAAATTATGGTTAGATGATCAAGATTGTTGATTTTCATGATGGTTTTATGTTTTAAAAGTCAATCATAGATTTGCTTGTGTTTTTGCGATTGGTTGTGTAGGTTATATATATTTTTTCAATGGGCTTTTGTTTTTAAAAGCCAATCTTTTTGCATCCATATGAGTAATATCATTAGTTAAAACCATTTTGTGGGTTTGCATTTGTTTTGAATAAAGTTATAGTTTTTATTGCTGATCAAGGGTTGAAATCCTAATTAAACTATTTTTTTTGGTCAATGGGGTTTCGTGTTTTGCTTTCAAACCTTATTGCTTCGTATCTCCATGTGTGATTCATGCCTTAGAGTCGTGGTAAATATGTGTAACCTGATTGATTTAGTTTTATATGGATCATCATTGTTCTAGATTGTGTTTTTTTTTTTTTATGTTTTGATTTTAAGGTGCTTTGATTAGATATTAATTGATGAAGTTTGTGACTATTGAATTTTGATTGTGTATTTATTGGGTGCTAAAAAGGTGGATCATGTGTTTATGTAATCTTTGGCAGATCTCTTTTTCTGCAAAAGAGATTGATGTTGCAGAATGGAAAGGAGATATAATTGCTGTTGGGGTTACAGAGAAAGATATGGCCAAGGATGGTAGCAAGAAGTTTGAGAATTCTCTTTCGAAAAACTTAGATGCTAAGCTGGTTGGTCACTTAAGTGAAGCCTCCTCTGAGGAGGATTTCACAGGAAAACCTGGCCAGTCATTGGTTCTTAGACTTCCAGGTCTTGGTTCCAAAAGAATCGACTTGATTGGCCTTGGACAGTCCGCAACAAACACATATACGTTTCGCAATTTTGGTGAGGCCATTGCAGCTACAGCAAAGACTGCTCAGGCCAGTAAATTGGCATTACACTTGCCTCGACTGGAAGTGTCTCAAATGAATCAAAGCTTAGTACTGCTTCGGCAATGGCATCTGGTACTTATGTTAGGAATTGATGGCATTGTGACTATTGATTGTGTTTAATAGTCGAAAATAATTTATGCTATTTGTTTTTTTCGTTTTTTCGTACCTATTAGCGAATTTTTTTTATTAATATTAATTTAAATTTAATTTATAATATTTAAATTTTACTAAAAAATTAAATTTTTATAATACATTGTTTATTCTAATTATTAGTTACTATCGAGGATATCACAAATTTAAAACTAACAAAAAAGCAAAATTTATCAATTTTAAAAAAAAGTAATAATAAACTCGGTGACAAATTAACGATGGATAAGCGTTGGAATTTTTTTACATTTTGCGATGGAATAGCAACAACGAAATTAGCTTCGGATATTAGCGATGGAACATTGGTAGTTAATTAGCGATAGATTGAATGATGGAATAGCGATGCATTATTTGGTGGAAACACGAAAGTTTCGGTAACCAATTAGTGATAGAATATAAAGATTTAGCGACGAATACTTGTTCATCCATTGCTAGGGGTAGCGATAGATTCTTTTCGAACGTAAACACTTTTAGCAACAGATTTGCACATAATAGCAATGGATTTTTTTCGTCGCTAAATGATAGTTTTCTTGTAATGTCATGTTATTTTTCTTGATTTTTGACATGAGCCCAAACTACACCACATATGAATTGAACTGATAATGGATCCCACTCAAAGCAAGGTCATTGGTTGTAAGGATGTACATAAGATTGAATACGAGTGTTCGGCGGGGGCGGTATCCATGTCTTGTTATTGAGATGCATTAGGAAAATTAGCTTGGTGGGCTTGGAACAAAATCCGTTAAAGAGAGATCCAATTGTTGCTTCCTTTAGTTTCTTTTTTTAGTAAATTAAAGCGAGTTAAGCTCAAAGAATCTAAATCTTTCGGAGCCAAATATGACCATCCAAACTTGGATGACATGACATGATGTTAGCGATCAATGACCATTTTTTACTAGCTATAAATACCAACCTTATATCATTACGAGGGGATCGAACTTTTGCTTTTGAAAATTTTTGATTTCAAAACTTTCAATCTTCGAGCAAAAGAAACACCTAATACCTTAAAAACTTTCATACTCACACCCCATACGGTACCTAAAGCTCTAATTATTTAGACTTTGACTATCCACCTATCGCCTATCTAACTTGTGTCTTGCTAGCATTGCTCGTTTCTCCTTTCATGTTTTTCACTATTTACATATTTTCTACTTGATTGGTTGATCATTTTTTTACAAGTTACGGTACCAACTCTTCACATCTTGACCGAATTATCAACCAGTTGTCTAATCGATTCTCAAGAACCCTTTTACACCAATATTGATATAAATAAAATTGTATCTCGGCACAAACTACAACATTGTACACTATCTTCCTCGCTTCTCTTAAAGTTTTGTACAGGATGTACTATTGCCGATCAAAATGTGCAATCGCAAGTAAACTTAATTTTTAGTGTGTACATGCTTCATATCTTTATGCGTTTTTAAATTATGTTTGTTTTTTGGTCCTTTGGTCAATGATAATAAAAGTAGAAAATATAATTCATCATATATGAAAACTTTGTTTTAAAAAAATAAAAACTTTAATGAACATTAGCATAATGAAGTGTTCTAAGCTTTTTTTTTTTTTTTAAGAATTACAGTAATACAAGACTAAAATTATATGAAAATAAATCTTTAATAAAAAAATGTTTTAGATAAAAAAAAATCCAAATTACAAAATAAGATTTGTTGTACAGTATTTTTTAAGAAAAAAATAAATATCAAATTTTCATATGTATTGTAAATTTTTTTTTTTATAGAAAAGTACAATAAGAAATAAACTTATTTAAAAGAAAAAAACAACATGTTATCGTTATTATATATATGTATAAGGAATGCATACCTTTCCCCTGCTTCGCTTATATTAATGAGCTATGAAAATATTGAACTTATATCATTAGCAAATTAATCTCAATGTGAAACTGTTAATGCTATACAACCTGACGCGTACGAACTAGGAAAAGAAAATATCGTTTAATTATCTTGAATAACAGATAAAAAAAAAAAAAATTGATTGTATGACAAGAATTGCTGCTTCTTCTTCTTTGTACCCCCTGCCCCCAAATCTTCTGATTAACTTGCATTTCATTATGGCGGGGCTATAGAAGCACATATTTTGTGACTTGATTGAATGTTTCCAAAGTTCAAAATTTTCCGTTTTTTCTTGGTTTTACAACCATAAAACAAGCTAACTAGGTCAACACCCGGCCGGAATTAGAAAAATCAAATTAAAACGGTAAAAAAATAATATCTAGTACATAAAAAGTCATGGAGTTTTGAAAAATAAGAGTTGATAATATGGACGTCATTGAATATTTGAGTATGTTGACTTGAAATACATGCAAAAACGAGGCGTGCATACATGTTCATGCAACAGCAAATCATCCTTATTTGCATTCTTAATTTGTTCGAAAAGGAAAAATAGCAAGCTGATGAAGGACCGCATGCATGCAGTTTTCCCAAGTCCACTTCCCATGACAGTGAAATCATGGAATTTATTTTTGTCATGAAAGTATCTTGATGAATATGTGTTTCCTCTACAACTGCTTGTAACATTCCAGTAGTACTGATTGTAACATTCCAGTAGTACTGATTGTTGAAATTAAATTGTATTCGTACGTACGTACCCTTAATTTATTATGAGTCAACAACAACAAAATTTAAAAGGTTTAGTTCACAATATATATATGTTTTAAATATGCTTATTTCTATATATCATTTTAGGCTCAAATTAAAATAAGACTATAATTAAAAATAAAATGAAAATGCAATATTCATTAATTTAAGTTTGAATTTCTAACACACAATCTCATAAACACTTAATTTTGATACACCAAATCTAATAGTTAAAAAATAAATACTACGTATAGGTAGGTAGGTAGGTTTTTTAAAATTTTATTTGGAATTAGTCTCGGAATTATTAGTTCCTCCACTATCATCATCACGAATCTCTTCGTAATTTGTACTAGCTATGATAGTAGCAATTAATTGTGTTATCCGAAAAATAACAAAAGCTAAAACATATATATATATATATATATATATATATATAAAGTGGTGGATGGCATCTTCTATTACGGTTTTTCACATGGTAGAGCCTTATGCATCCAAAATAAATTAATATATGTTATAAAATAATGAATATCCATTTCATATTTTCATTACTTATGTGATTCAATTCACCATTCAATGTGAAAAATTAAAAAGGTGATGCAATTTATTCAATTATTGATGCATCTTTTCATGATTTACAATCCCTTCCAATTCTCTTTCTAATATTAAAGCCTATAAATAGACTTGATTGTTTATTAGTTTGAATACAAGTATTTTGTTGATATTGAAAGATTATTTGAAGTTGTTATCTCTTGTATTCACTTTATCTTACGGTGAATTCATTTTCTTATCATCATTTTCTTCAATTCTACTATTGTTATCATTTCTTTTATAACACGTTATCGGCACGAAGCTCTAACCAATGGAGATAATAAACCATAAGGTATGTATCTACCAAAAGACTTAATCATTTGTTTCAACCATTGGATATTTTTCTACACAAGTGTTCTACCAAAAGATCTAAATTATTTAGATCATTAAGAGGTATGTATCTAATTTATCATGTACTTTAAATCTAATGATACATAGAATATACATTTGAAAAACTTGAATGATTTAATATATAGAATATAATGATCTAATATATATATTATTTGAAAAGTTTAAATTTTATTAATACGTTTGTTTTTATTTCCTAATATAATTATTATACTTTGCATTATAAATTTTTATGATATCATACCTCACAAAACTTAATTTTGTGACCCTTGACATTTTGGACAAGAATTATTAATCATGAGTACTTAATGTTGAGTAAATATTCTCTACTTTTCATGTCTCGAATGCCTCCTACGGTAGCATATCGAGAAAAAGAATTTGAGAAATATTCTGAATCAATTTTATACTTATTCATGGCTAAACAAAATGAAAAGCTATTGATGAAAAAGAATAAATCTCATTCATCCGGATCTACTTCATTTCCTAAAGTGAATGTGACAACTTATAATAATTTTAGGCATGGACAAAGATTTGGTTATAGTCATGAATGTGGTTAGAATAATTATCATTATAATCGTGATGACCATAATAATACATCTCTCCACAAAAAGTGGATAACTATGAAAAAAATAAGAAAAGAATAAAAATGTATCAAATCGGTATTTTGAAAATAAATGTTATAGTTGTGGCATGAATGAACATTAGTCGTGTACTTGCCGTACATCAAAATATCTCATTGAGCCTTGTCAAGTCTCATTAAAAAAGAAAGAGTAAAAAATAGAAGCCAATTTTATATATTAAAATAGTGATAATTGAAATTAATAACTTGTTAGCTTTTTTATTTATAAATAAGATATTTTATATTTTCTTATAATTTATATTACATAGAGATAGATATAAATTTATTTTACTATTTATTTATTTTTGTTTATGAAGAATATATTTATTTATTTACTTTATGTTTATTTATTTTTATATTAATATTATATATCATAATATCAATCTAACGAAAGCTCTAGACGAACGATTATATTATTACTTGAAGAGATAAATTTTTTAGGCTTTAGAAGAGCAAATATATAATTGAAGAGATAACTTTCAAAGGTTTTATAAGAGTAAATATATTATTACTTGAAGTGACATAATTTAAAAGCTCCGTAAGGGTAAATATGTTATTATCTAAAAAGATAAATTTTATTATAAATGATGTACTATTCTCTCTAAAGTCTTATAGAAATTTATTGAGTTTCAAAAATATTAATCTAAATTGATATCATATCAAGACAAGTAAATGTAAAAAATATTGAATACTTATATATTATAATTATTATATCGGATAGAAAATATATATTGAAAAAATTTACTCGCTTTCTTTTTAGTCGTTATTACAAATATTAGAATGATTGAAACAAATGTTGTAGTAAACCGAAGTTTACTAATTTAGATACTTTTATTATATGGCATGACCAATTGTTTTATCCTGGGTCTTTCATAATGCAAAAAATGATTAAAAATTTATATGGACATCTATTGAAGAGCCAAAAGATACTTCAATTTAATGAATTTTAATGTTCCGTATGTTTTCAAGGTAAACAGATTATTAAGCCATCACCAAGTAAAATTAAGATTGAATCTTTAGTATTTTTATAATGTATTCAAAGTAATTTATGTGGATTAATTCATCCATCATGTAGATCATTTGGATATTTTATGATGTTAATAAATGCATCCACAAGATGATCACATATATGCTTATTATCCATTTGAAACCCGACATTTTCGAGATTGTTAACAAATAATTTGATTTTGAGCATAATTTGTAGATTATGCTATTGAAACAAGTCACCTTGATAATGCTTGGTGAATTTATTTCTCAAGTATTAAATGATTATTAAGGTTGAACAGACTTGTTGCTCATGTTCATACTTAGAAAGATTTAGCAAAATCATTTATCAAAAGGCTCCATTTGATAGCTAAATCATTTTTTAAGAACAAAACTTCTAGTTTATGTTTGGAGACATGCAATCCTACATACGAGTAACACTTATTTGCATCGGACTCACAAGCTATAAAAAATTCTCCCTCCTTCAATTGGTTTATGGTTATGAGTTAAATATTTCTTAGTTAAGAATTTTTGACATTGTAGTATATATTCGTAGTGCTCCTCTATAACGAAATAAAATGGGCATTAAAGGAGATTGGGAATATATGATGAATTTGAATCCTCTTCGATAATTCAATATCTTAAACCATAAACAAGAGATATTTTTATAGCTCGATTTATCGATCGTCATTTTGATTAAACAGCTTTTTCAACATTAGGGGGACATAATAAACAAAATAAGCGAGTGAAAATATTGAAAAAAAATATTATATGAAGTACTCTATCTTATATCATCTTAATCCTCGTACAAAATAATGTAAAATAGAAGTTCAAAAGATAATTCGTTTATAAGGTATTACAAACCAATTGCTAGATGCATTCTCGGATCCTAAAAGAGTAACTAAAATACATGTCCCAATTGAGAATGCTCTTATTAGAATTGATGTTCAAAAAGGATAATCTATTAATGTTATAATAAATGAATTTAAACTATGCTCGAAGCATGAAAGACCAATCGGTTCTAAAGACAAAAATCCACGAAAGAAAAGGCAACTAATTAAGATGAAAATATAAAAGGATGCAAATATTCACAAAACGCTCTAAGATATTTATGATAATACAAAAATCTTTGAAAGAAAAGAAAAAATAATCAAGATGAAAATATAAAAGGATGCGAATATTCCCAAAACGGTTCAAGATATTTCGATAATAGGCTTTCGAATAAGTCCAAATGCTTGAGAACAATCAAGAGACTTTGATCAATTATGTCAATACAAGGAGAAAATAAGGTTGAAAAGAACGTTTATTGATAAAATTTTTTCATATAATGTTTCAATTGATATCTTGAATGAAAATAAGGATCCCGAGCCTAAATTTATTAAAGAATATTGACATAAAGATGACTAGCCTAAATGAAAAGAGCAATCAAGCGGAATTATGCTCTTTTACAAATGAGTAATTTTTGAACCCATAGTCAAAACACCTAAAGATATTAAGCTAATGAAATACAAATGTGTATTTATGCGAACATAAAATAAAGAAGATGAAATTGTAAGATACAAAGCAAGACTTTAACACAAGAGTTTTTTTTGCAAAAACCTAACATTGACTATGAAGAGACATATTCTCTTAGAATAGATGCAACTAGTTTATGATCCCGCGCTTCACTACGAGTCGAATTAACATATTTATTTCAACTAAATAACATGTATTATAAGATGGATCAACTAAAATATATTAAATTAAAAGTCTTTTTTAATCTAAATTCATTGTTTCTTTAAAATTATGTATTTTATTTATTCTTCTTGATGTTTTTCATAAACTTTGTTGTTAAAAAAACACGATTAATATTCATTATGCATTATTTTTAAATTAAAATCTATAATGATGTAAATAGAAAATTTAATAATTTCTTTTTAAATATCCAAATATTTATTTTCATAAGATTGCATCAAAGAAATAAAAATTATAGAAATCATAGAATTTTTTTAAAAATAATTTGGTGTATGGGATTTATCATGATCCACCTAACCAATCATTCGAGTTTTCATCCTCATTACATGAATTATATTAAACCAATAAAGAAAAAGGAAGCGAGTTTAACTCTAGTAATCATTAATCATTCATATAGTTTCTTGTTAATTATATGATATTATTTTATTAGGCTATCTTGTTTTTCTCCCTTTTTTTATTAGCACTAATTTAAGCAACAATCATCATGAGATCATAAGGGAAACAGTTATAGATACTTTTTTGGTTAGTAAAAAAAAGTGATAGTTAATGACTTCTCAACTAAAATCTAAAAATATATTGTGACAAATTTGACAGAAATTAAATTATACCCCTTCTTTTCTCATATTTTCAACTTTTATCTTATTTTTTTTATTAGGAGATGAATGGAGCAGCCTCACTCCATTTATATAGTCATATAATCTTTTGTGTGCTTTTTTTTTTTGCGTGAAGAATATCTATCATTTTATATTTTATTTATTTAAATTAAGTCATAAATGTTAATTAAAAATCTCTTCGAATTTGATATGATTTAAGTGATTCAAAAAAATAAAAAATAATATATAGAAAATAGCAAAAAATGTATATATATATATATATATATATATCAAATTCAAAGTGATTGTTAATTAATATGGAGTATGCCTTAATTTAAATGAATTCAATATAAAATGTCGAGTACTTGAAATTACTGGAGCTATTTCCTTAACTATGTTCTGAGGACAAAAACAAAACTCTTACATGCTTTGTTGGCAAAAGCAAAATTTAATGAAAAATTACTTTCAACATGGATCAATGAGTTAAGGATGGCTCTGATATTACAAGAACGTCACATTAGTTATCATGGTCATAAAGCCTAGAGTATGCTTATATCAATTCCTTTGGTTTAGATGATCACTCCTTTAGTTTGGATGACCTTTGCCCAGTTGAACAGTCATTTCAGATTCTATTATAAACTCCAAAACATGAGCCATAACTGGGGTTAATTACGTTTGTGATTCCTGTAATATCTTGATTTCATTATTTGATTCTCTCAATTACTAAGATAATTTTTACTAACCTAATCTTGAATAAAGAAATTTTCATCATTTATTTAATAAAAGTTTTAAAACGACTCTTAAAAAACCAAAATGCGTGAATAATTTTTAAAGTTTTTAAGGAATAGATAAGGTAAATAAAAATATTATAAACCTAATCCTAAACTTTGAATAAAATCAAACTAAAAAAGTCTCCATCAAAATAAATAAAAGGACAGAAATTCAAATAAATTTGATCAAATGCCTAGCAAAACCTGTTAAGATGAATGTTCAAAGCTTTACAATCTCTCTGATTCTCTCGTATAAGCCAAGCACCAACCAAATAGCTTAGAATCATAACAAATCATGAGGGACTCTTTTTGCCACCCATCAAATTGAATTATTGTGGTAATTATTCTCGACAACATAGCCTATCTGATAATCCCAATCAGCAAACATCGTTTGGAGCACCCAAAAACTGCGAATGATGTGATGGGCGAAATATCTTGTTATAGATATTTTGACTTTTTGGATAAACTTCTTATAAGGACTTCAAAGAAAGAACTTGAAAGCATTACCTTATTTTTGTCTCTCTCTCTCTCTCTCTTTCACAAAGATACTTGATTTCAAACGAAGAAAAGAAAGCAAAAATATAAATAAATGCAAGAGAAGATCTCTTTTTCATTTCCTAGCCAACCAGTCACAGGCAAATACAATTTCAATTGCAGTATTCAACACTGCAAAGTACACATCTTATTTAGTACTCAAAAGGAATATATATATATATATATATATAAGTCAGACATAAATTTTTTAATTCATTATTCCTCTTAAACGATCTTTAGCTGATGACTGAAAAAAGAGATCTGTTTGTTGGATGATGATTAGATAAAGAGCTATCAATATTGGTGCCCTTGAGATATCCAACTTGATTTCAGAGCTGTTTTCACTTTTATTGGCGTAAGAACCCTCAACTTCTCTATTGAGGTTGATGGATTCAACTGGTTCTTTGTTTTTCAATCCAATATAAGTAGCCAGAAATTAACCAATCAACCTATATTATAGAAACACATAATACAATCTTATATTTTCTATAAGCCTCCTGTTTACCAGCTTTGAAGTCATAACCAATCTCTTTTCAATAATCTATTTTAAACAGTTGCATTGGCATGCTTTCATCATTTCATTCTCACACTATTGTGAATGAAGCAAGCAAACTACACTCACTACCTAAAATAACACGAATCTGAACTGAACATGAAAGAGTTCCTTCAAGAAAAAAACATTCAATTATGTTTTTATGCTAAAATCCTAAGCTTCCAAGCTATGCTAGAGACAAAACATCTAAAATATGAATGATATTTTAAAAATAGCTCATCAATACCCAAAAATCTTTGAGCAGCCTGGACACACATGGTAATGCAAAGAAGAAAAAGAGCATTAAAAAGGATAAAGAGAACTCCCAAACAACAGACCACAATTAGGTCAAGTAAATCTTAACTTTTCAAAGAAAGCATAAAGTCCTTCTCACTATGTGAGACTGCCTTTGACACCTCTCTACGTGTGACTGCCTTTGACACTACAATTTTTGTGCTCCTGACATCACAAACATTTCTTAAACATTGCACACCTAACCCCTCTAATAAACCACCAACCACTCAACTCTAACAACCACATCCGACCTTACCACACCAAACTCACTGGCAACAACACCCACTGCCTTCGAAATTTCTAGATATATATAACCAGCAAGAACTCTAAGATCTCCTACTAAAGGAAAATGCTCTAGCTTTAACAACCTTGGTCACGCCTACCACTGTAAACATCAATCTTTTCTCCTATTTAGCTAAGCATTCAAATCGATGAGGACTTGCATTTTAAACGTTTTTTGATGATGGAAGTAATGCTACCTGGCTTGCAGTGCTAGGTTGGTGAACTTTAGGACCTTCAGTTCCAGCTGAAACCATAAAAGATTGACTTAATAAACAAAGATACAAAATCCTTAACAATAAAGCAAATTTCAATAATAAAAAACAAACAATTCTTTACAGAGAGAAAAAATAATGGTTCAATCGTGCAAAAAATTTCTTCCTTTTGCCTTCTAACTTATCCTTTTGGTTGGAGATGGTCTGAAAATGAGGAGCATAGGAGACTTGCAAATGGCTCCATAGGAAAATGGATTCGTCCAATTTTCTTTCAGCAAACCTGAAAATTAGTCACATGATGAAACATTATTGGAGAAGCAAAAATGAACGATATAAGCAAGCCTAGAAGTTGAAAACCATAAATGAATTAGTTCACCTTGCATTGTTGATCCGACGAAATTTGATCCAGCAAACATCACTCAATTGCTCACAATCTTTAGCATCTATTAGTTCACACCTTCAACCATTTTTTTTAACCAATAATTAAGAAAATCAAAGCAAAAAAAAAAAAAAGTGACAAAAGAAGAGGAGAAGTGAGTTTTATTTACTCCTTAACATCTCTATAAGTGGCAAAAATAAATCATCGTTGCATCCCAAAACAGGAACGTTCCTCACTGTTAAATATCTATTCAAAAATAGTTTTTTGTTAGTGTGATTTTCTCTTAAAATTTTAGAAATAAAGAAAGCAAAGGATTTAAATGAAGAGGTAAAAGAAACTCATTCTAGCGAAATTGCATAACAATTGGAACAAATGAATCATGGTTCCGATGAACATGAAACATTCCGTGCTGCTCCACCATTGATATTAAAAAGCACATAAAAATCATTTATCTCAGTGAATGGTATCCAAAATCTCCCAGTTAACATGCAATAATTAAAATAACCTATAGCATCATGTATCTCATAATTGTACCTTATCTCTTCCTATAAATATGTCGAAGACGCATTAGTCATCTGGTTAAGAATTAACATCAAAATACCTGTAGTTGAAACTGAGCTATCCTCACATCCAAAAGAAATGCACATGGACTTAAGGTTGTTTGCCTTTGACTCAGGATGTTGTTTCTCAGATTGCATAAAACATTCGTCGACCTGAAGATTAAAAAAAAAAAAAGTTTAAAATTTCAGATGCAAAAGAAGTGTTGAAATAATTTCTCATCAGGAAATACTACAAATTGTATGAGCTGTTGTTAATATCTGACAAAATAAATGCAAAAATCATTTTCAGTTGAGTACCAGGATTGAAACATCTGGAATGTTTTTATTTTTCACATTCGAGTGCATTTTCTAATTCATAGCATTCTCAGTCTTGAATTTACCTCTTTCCGTTTGTCTAGAACCCTGACGTTAAGAGTCATTAACATCAAAGTTGGGTTTTTCTAAACTTCCTGATTGAAAAAATTAACAAATTCCTTGACCTTTCCCCTATCTCTGTTCTTCCTAAGGCTGTCTCTTGATTTTGTAGATGAAAATTGAAATTTAGCTTTATCCACCTCTATACTATTCGCTGTAGTTGTTTTCTCACCTCAACCTTTACATTTTCTCTACCATCAAAAATTGCAAATGATTTTTTGGTACAGTTTACCTTGCTCTCTTTCAAACCAGCTTTTCTTCTCATCTCATCAATATCTGTCAGAGAAAATAAATTTTTTATTAGAGACATCACATAAAATGCATACTTGATCTAGATTCTAGAACATGACTACCTTGTTCGTCATCATTCTCAGATATAGGGAACGTAGTGGTTTTAGCTTGGTGTTATAAGCCTAATGTGTAACTATAGAAATTTCTTCTTTTGTTTTTTTTGTTTTTTTTTAGAAGGGGAGAGGAGAGTGCCGCTGCCATTTTTGAGAAGGAAAGAAAGGAGTCTAGGTTTTGATGGTTATAATTTTTTTGAGATAAGATTGAAAATGTGGTAAGCATTCATTGGTCATGGAGATTACATTATTATGTAACAAGGCAAATCCAACGGCCAAGAAAAGAAAGATCTAATGGTCCAAAAGCAATAAAAAAAGAAAAGCAACTGATGAAAAGGAAAAAAAGGCAAAATGAACAGTTGCAGGTATATAAAAATTGAGATTGTGGCTACAGTAGAAGAGACAAAGAAACCCCTTTTTTTCCATCTCTAGTCGTTTTTCAGTCAACATGGTTTCGAATTGTGATACTCATTCATCCATTTTTTATTTCCTTTTTTTTTTTTTTCACTGAAAATCCTCCTAGATTGCAAGAGATCTAAACTCCATCAGTGATTTTGTTTCCCATCCCAATCTCTTCTGTTTTTTGTTCTCTTTGGCTGGGCTTTTATTGGTTATAGAAGAAGCAAAGGAAAAACAAGAGAAGACAACTTTAAGGTAGAGAACAGCTGAAAAAATTGAAAAGCAACTGCTTTCTCCCTCACTCATCTTCTCAAGAGTAAGGATGGCAATGAAGCGGGGCGGGGTGGGCCCCCTTAAAAATTCCTCATCCTCGCTCCGTGCCTTGAACGTGGTAGAATTTTTTATCCCATCCCCACCCCAAGTAGGGACGGCGATCTCCGCAGGGCAAACGAGGCCCCGTTTTACTATTTGTTTCCACCCCGCCCCGTTCCATTTTGCCCCGTTTTGACAGAGTTTATAATGAGCACCACAATTTACATAATTTTGTTTCCCAAGCAAGAGATCAAATCACTGGAACTCAAAGAGAAACAATAAAAAAACATGTTTCGATACATACTTAATTATCACAAATTATAATACAATTCATAATATATTAAATCATTTTCAACCGAATAAATAACATACTTAAATTGATAAGATATCACAAATACAATTAAAGAAACAAATCTTTGCATGTTACTACTCAAAGATCATCAAGACTCACTCATTACATTGGAGTTCAACATAATCGTCGATTACTCGCAGATCCTACATTCATTAAAATTAAAAGTGAATTAGTCATTATAAAATTTTTTAATGTTGTCATTTAAACTTTGACATATTATTTTATACCTTCATCTTCTTCCGGATACTCCTCATACATAGTACAATAACCATCTAAAACAAATGAAGTTCCACCTAGAAACAAATATAATAAACATAAATAAGATATATAAAATTTTTAAGAAATTAATAAAAAAATCAAATTCATATGTAGAGTTTTAGTGCATTACTTTTATTTTCGGTTGTCTATAACCAATTCGAGCACACATTAATGCTTCCACCATCTTTGGATGAAGTCTACTTCGATGTGGACTTACTAGCCTGCCCCCAATACTAAAAGCCGATTCTGAAGCAATGGTTGACACAGGGTTTGCCAACACATCCTTAGCAATTGCCATCAAAGTAGGGTACTTCGACTCTATTTACTTTTCACCATACTAGAATATCAAAATCTTTGGTTCTTGGAATAACAACCTCATCTAAGTAGTAGTCTAGCTCTGTCTTGACAAAAGTAACCTTGGCCTTTTTCTTGAAACATATAAGTCAAACTCGGATTTCATATCATCATAAACTCGTTGAAGAATTAGCCACAACGAGCTACCACATCCTACATCCATATTTCTATTTTCTTGGTACTCGACTAGCAAACCATAATAAAGTTTCCTTATATTCTCAATCCGAACCATAGCCTCACTCCCATAAACTTTTTCAAAATAAAACTCCGATGAATTCATTTTGTACCTAGGATCTAAAACTACGACTTACTCCAATTATTTCATGAATCACACTCCAATACTTATTGAACTTGACTAATATACTTTCTCGCCATTTCACTAACCATTTGATTTGGACAAGTGAGCCATTGAGTCAATGCAACCTTAATTTCATAAATTTTAGTAAAAAATATATTTGATGTAGGGTATTGAGTTCCCGAAAACAATTCGAGTAACACTATAAAAGATCTTTAATCTCCCACACATTTCCTTTGCGAATTCCCAATCACTATCAATAGGCGCAATCTTATAATAAGGTTCGCGACGCTTCAACCTAGAGAAACAATCCTTATATAATAAAGCAATTTCAAGCATCAAATAAGTAGAATTCCATCTAGTTAGACAATCTAAAACCAATTTCTTCATGATAGGAATGAGAACAAAAGTTAGCAGACTTCCTTAAACTTTTTAACTCTTTTAGGAGTTATTGTCCAAAATGCTACACTATCTCTAATTCGTTCAACCCCATCCTTAATGACATCTAACCCATCTTTCACTATTAAGTTAATGATATGAGCACAACATCGCATATGCAATAAAGAACCAGAATTCAACAAATCTTTAGATTGTAATTTGTCCCTCACATACTCAACCATGGAATCATTGGTGGAATGATTATCTAATGTAATAGTGGATAATTTTCCTTCAATATTCCAATCCATCAAACAATCAACCAAAGCAATTACAAGGACAATGCTTGTATGTGGACAAGGAACATACATAAACCTAAAGTAAGATATAAATTAGTTATAAACTAGAAGCATTAAACTAAAACAATTAAACAAACATCATTAAGTTAAGAAGAAATGAAGAGTACCTCAATAGGCAGCTTCATAATGTCCAAGAACTATCAATGTAATGAGCTATAATGGCCACGAACCCTTTTTTTTAGTTGCTCACTCGTCCACAAATCAGTAGTGATGGCAACTCTACTTTCAAGTTTTTCGAAAAGTCTCTTCATTTTGGCTCTCTCATTGTCATATATCCTGAAGGCATCACTTTCACTCGTATTTCTACTTGGACACCGAAATAATGGTTGAATAGTACTTATAAACTTTCCGAAGTCGATATGATCAACCATAGAGATTGGGTATTCATGCAATATGATTATAGAAACAAGCTCATTTCTTCCCATCTCTTGATCAAAAGTAAGAGACATTGTATCACTCACTAAGTTGAAGTCAAAACCTTCCGTCTTATGTCCGTAATTTTCCTCTTTGGACATCTCTTAAAGTGATCATGCAAATGTTTAGTACCATTCCTTGGCTTGCCTTCAAGTTGCTTCGTGCAATAATTGCATTCTGTCTTTTCTTCACCATTCACGAGTTTTCTTTATGAAATGGTTCCACACAACGACTAAATTGCCTTCTATTAGGGAGATCGGAATCGCTTTGAAGTTCATCCGTAACAAGTTATGGAGATGAAATTGATTCGATAACCTGGAGTTGATGGAGGGAATCCAAATGTATTGGTGTAGAGTTTATAGAGTGATGGGAGCTACCTCCATCTCCATGGCTTATCATTTTTTGAAAATATATAATAGTTTAAATTCCAGATCGTCAAACAAAAGAAAAATATTTAGACACTTGGATCTTAATATCTTATACAGCTTATACTTGAGAGAGAATGACATGAGAAATATGTAGTTGAACTATAACTTAATTGCCTATAATTGTAATTTTTTAGGAACATCTAAAGGGAAATGAGAGATTGCTCTAAATTACTTTGTTAAAAGGAACACCTTGAATTAAAACAAAAAAAATCATATATATTTGGTTTGTATTCAATTTCCCATATAAATGAAATTAGTTCTTATAGTTGTTAAAATTTTTTTTTTTGAAAAATCATGCATGTCTGAGTCACTGGCTACACTAAGCACTATGAGTTAGCTCGTCAGCACTGCTCGCGTGCTAACTAGTAGCACTGCTCGTGTAATCATGATAACTTTCCTCGACATGGGATGGAAACTTTTATGGAAAGCAAGCTCATAAATCCATTTTAAAATGGAGATACACGTTGATATTCTCCCGTATAATGGAGAGTTAGATATATATATATATATATGTAAAGAGGATGATTAAAACAATTAAAAGTTTATTTCACTACCAAACCGTATACAAACCCTAAAAGAAAAAAAATTACATTTCTTAAGCATATGTCCGTGTATTATTGATTTTCGATTATACTCGGCTTTAGTTCATACCAATGTTTTAACTTTAACTTTTAAAACGCCATGATTCTTTTGTCATGGAATTATATTGGTTTGATACCATTTTATTACGTGACTTGCTTTTAGACCAATTGTATGATAACACATGATATAAAAATAATTATTTGAATAAAACATTTTTCATGTTGTTTCTTTGTTTGTTCCCTGTATCGTTGTTTAATATGGACAAAAACATGTGATTTTCTCTTGGTTCAACTCAAGAAAAAGCTCGAAACTTAAGAAACCCCTGCTATTTGAGTGCTGATTCATTGTGTTTTTTTCATGGTCTTCCTTATCAATGTTTGAAACGAATAAAAGCATGCGATTTTTTCTTAGTCCATTTGCGTAAGCTATATAAAAAACTAAAAAAGCCTCGCAATTTGAGTACTCGTTTACGTTCGTTTTTCCTTTCAATATACATATGTTGTCACTCGCTTAGATTTTAATATTTTGTGTTT